AGCTTATTAATACATGATCAATCATTAATACATTGTTAGCTACTAATTTTACACGGCTGAACTGGTGGTAACCGTTGCTTTGGACAAAGAGAGCACAAGACCTGGTGATAACCGCTGCACAGCTACCCCTCCGTCCGCCCACAGGGATTTCCTCGCACGGTCGACTTGCGGGCCACCCAGACGGTCGACTTGCGGGTGAAGCTTCAGTACGTAGCCCCCATGGTTTTGTTTGTATGGGTGTGTAAGTGTGTTTGAAGAGGGGTGCCTCCAACTCCCAACCAATGGTTGAGACTGGTCTGTTTCCATTCTTGCCTGGGAGGTCCTCCTATTTTCATACATATTTTACAATGCCGTAGGAAAAGAACGGCGATGATGATGATGATGGTGATGGTGATGATGATGATGATGATGATGATGATGATGATGATGATGATGATGATACAAGCGCTCTCATAGTTTGTTTGTGGATGTGTGATGCCCCAACTCGTACAACATGCTGTCTTAAAGCTTCGACCAACAGCCAGTCCAAGTCTGTTTCACGACTCTGGGACTCTGGGATTTTGATGGATTTTGGATGGAACGTGGACCTTAACCTTGCCCAACAGGTGGCTAGCAGTGAACTGGCATCAGAGAGATTCCTACGTGCCGGGGCTTTGCCTGGTCTTCTTCCTCGTCCAGCCCCTCATCTTGAAGGCAAACCATGCTTGCCCGTGCAGAGACTGCGGCCGCCAAAGTCTTCATTTTTCAAGATTTGGAGCACTTGAAAGAACGCTGGGATATTGGACTTTCAATGATTTTCATCCTCAAGCTATGAACTGTTCAGGCACATGGTTCCCGGACATTGTTCACTTTCAGCAAGAACAACCCACCAAGTCACGACTTGGTTTACCCCATCCGTTGGTTCTCCAATGATTGGCACCTGAGATAAGCTTCTGGTGCTGCTTCCCGTGTGCGAGTGCACAGCAAACAGGAGGACCCGGGGACCATGGCCACCCCACGCTCCACAAGAGTCTAGAGATATATGCCTCTTTAAGGAGACCCCTGTTACGCAGGACGTCGTTTCGAGGGAGGTCGGGGTGGGCTTGGTCAGAAGTGAGATGGCAAGCTTGTCGGATTTGAGGGATCAATCTTCAGTTGCCATGAAACTAGTGACCTCGCAGCATTTTGGCCTTAACTCCCCCAAGATGTTCTGCATTTTTTTCCTGATGCATCCAACAAAATTCGGTGTCTGGCGCTCGCCAGCGGATGAGGTTCATCCTTTGCGCCTTAGAGTCGGCCTTGGCGCCCACCGCGCTAGGGCAGCAGCTCGCTGCCCTGCCGCAGCCGCTACGCACAGCCACCCGGCCTGGTGAAGTTCAAAAGCCGAAAGCGAGAGCAGCAAAGCTACGGGGCCTATGGGGGTTTGGGGAGGAATCCAATGCAAAAAGCTGAGATTGGGCATTTCTTCGGGGTGAGCAGCAAGACTCAAGTAGTTGCCCATAACGTCTCCTGGCGCCTGTGGCTGATATGCGAAAACCTGCCATAGTGGAATTCTTCAATGTGTTTTGATATAGAGCCATAGGCGCCAGAAGACAATTCATGCCAATGATGCTACCATGGTTGGTGGGGGGGGCAATTTTCGTCATGTGGCCAACAGTCTGCGCCACAGATGGCGGCTCGAACACGTTCAAGAACCCCACGAAGAGCCCCGGCTGTAGTGGTGCACGCCGGAGTTACCACTTGGAGCTGCAAGTACATTCTCCGATTCTCATCGACTCGTGCCTTGCACCGGGAGGTATATTGATATTGAGTATGGAGACATGTGATTGCTTTGATTTCCATGTTCTTTTCATCCGGGGTGTATACCTGGCAGGCTAAAGTTTATAGCACGATATGTTTAATTCGCTTGGTTGACACGGAAGGCCTGAGTGTGTCGACGATGGAGCAGTCGAGTGCAAGTGCTGTGTCTTCAGGGCAGCGATCAGGGAACGTGGTCGACTTGGAGGAAGGCTCTAAAGCTGCTATGTTGAAGAAGCTGAAGATCCCTTGTGCTCAGGTGTCTCACCAGCAGCAACAGTATGCTGTGCAGCTTCGACGTGCTCCTCGACCGAAGCTGAGTTAGGTTGGTGGCACTCAGTGCATCGATGCTGCTTGGGAAGTCTGAAGCGCTTGATGCCGAAGCACGTGAAGCGGAAGGGGAGACAGAATGGCGTCAGTTGCATGAATGCAACGTTGCAACGTCGTGTGTACCATCGTCTGCGGTGGCCATGTCACAGGACAAGAGTTCCTGGTGCACATGGCGAAGGCCTGTCGCTGGCAATTGAGGCGAGGAGACAGAGGCAGAGACAGAGAGAGGAGGCGGGATCCTCTTCTAAAATCTAACAACCCTCACTTGACAGGTGGGGGAAACATGTTTTTCTCGTTGCAGGGAGACTCTGCAAATTCCCCAGCAATGACACAAAGTCCAGAAAACACGATGAATCTAGCCAGGCTAAGGGTCTACAATGGTTACAACGTCTCCACGATCCATGACAAAGCCCCACAACCCTTTGACACCGTGGGCGTGTTTGGGGATTTTGGAGAGTGTCCCCAACCTCCTGGGTAACTCTGGAGACTGCCTGCTAGGCTCTTGATCATATTTCAACCTCCCATATGAAAAGCTTGAAAATCCAAGCCGAGGGGTTTATCAAGAGTCACATGATGTTTTTTACCCAAGCGACCTCGCTCCAAACAGCATTCGGCCCAGACCAAGCGCAGCCGTTTCGGAACGACGTCTTGACGTCCTGTCACCAAGGTGCTCACCACCTGTGTCATTTTGCCATTTGGGCCTCTCTTTCTCCAGGGCATTCATTCCATGGGCGTCGAGAACTCGCATCAAGGCTTGGGTCCCCTTGTGGCGGTTTTTTGCGGGGGTGCTGGTGTTTGGGTGTGTGATGTGTGTGTTTCTTCCGCATGGAGATTGGTGCTTGGGTTGGTGGCTCACAATGGGCCAGGTGCAAAGTGGCAGGCAGGCCTCCAGGTCCAATGTAAGTCTCAACTTTGGCCAGTATATATCTCATGACGACACATAAAATAAAAATCCAACGACCGTGTGCACTGATTTTTTTGGGCAAACAGGCCATTCAAACAAACTACGACGCTTATTGCGCACGTCGCCGCCCAGAAAAATGCACGTTTCAGAGCAACCGGGTTACGAATTACACAAAAAACATTTGCACGACTTTGGCGGTGTGCATCATTTGTTCAGGCCAAACCTTCTCGCTGGTGTGGGCTGACTGTGCTGACAGCCGGGCTGTAAGTGGCAACCCGCCTTTGGATTGGGTGATGTGTGCCACTGTGCCTTGGCATAGGGTGTGTTGGGTGTGGGTCGCTGCGGCCAAGGTCTTCCCTTGGAACTGATTTTTGAATGATTTTGATGTTGTTCCATGTGTTCTTTGCTTCAGCCAGCGAAGACATCTGGCGCACACTTATTTTTCTTAGGTTTGTTTGTTGGAAAGAGAACCACCGGTTTTTTTCATGTTTTCCTTCGGGGCGACACGTGGGAGTTCTCGCGGGGATGTGACCGGACTCAATTCCTCACAGGTGTGGATTTTAATAGGGAGACACCCTGGCCCACCCTGGCCCACCCTGGCCCAGTGGGTAGACTGGTCAATTTTTCCGTCTTCCAGGATTGCGAACTGGGAGGTCTCGCATTGTAATACACACTCAACATGTTTGTTTTTTTGGCAGCCCTTTTTCCCTAAGTCGCCATTGGAACCATCTATGGTGAGTGACATAAGCAGAGGGCCCAGAAAATCAAGCGGTTATGGAGATAATTAGGAGCAAAGGGGTCACGATCGAAAAGTTTGATTCTTTTCAAGAGTCTTAAGAGGGGGTATGCCAGGAGTTGGAGAGTAGGGATGCCTAATGTACTAATGATCCATTCACTCAGGGACTAAATATGCCGATCCGAGCGCTGGAGGTTGGCCTCATCGCCGCTGCCCATGGGCTCTGCCGGACACGAACGGCGAGAGCCTCCGGTGGCTGGGCGTTGAACCGACGGACCTGGGTTGAACCGACGGACCTGGTCGCTTTGGGTTGAAGCTCATGGCCCAACAGGGGTCTCGGGGCGGTTCCTTCGGGTGTCCGAGACTTTCGCTTCACCAGAGAGTCGCAACACCTGACCCATTCTCCGATAGCCAGATTTTGGGATACCCAGAGCCTCGTTTGTTATGCTGGACAAAGAGCCATGATCAACAACCAGGTCGTGCAAATGTAGAACATGTAGAACAGCTAAAGCAAGGAGCCCCTAGCCCCTAGGCCACCAGAGGTTGTGAGGGAAGGAACATGAGATGGGCTGCTTATTCACGAACTCTGTCTCTCCCTCTCTATCTCTCTCTCGAGAAGTTGGGGAGAGGGAGGAATCAGGCATCAACAGCAACTCCAGAATAGATAAGAAGAGTGAATCCCTTTGCAACCCGTTGAGCCACCACTCTGCCGTGCAGCAAGGGTTTTTGATGCCACCCCGGCTGATGGAGTCTACCACCGCCTCTGTAGGTGTGCCCTCACGCAAGAATGTCTCCATCGTGGCAGTGGACTCCACATGCGAAGGTGCCTAACAATGCCCCTCAACACGATGACCTACGTCAAGGCGATGACCTAGAAGTGATGTTTCTTTTTTGCTTTGTGATCTTATTTGGAAGAAGGCTTTCTGGTCATTCTTCCAGTGTTTGTTTTTCCGCCAACCAGTGAATATCTGAAGGATTTCACTCTCTCTAGCTCACTTTTCGCGCGCGAAGCATCTGGGCTTTGCTGCGGCCAAAAAGAGCGAGCCTGGGGGACCCGAGAAAGCACTGGGAGCCGGACAAACGTGTTTTCAGGTTCATAATGATACACGTTTCGGCCGCTTGCTCCATGAAAAGGAGACGGTCAGACTTCACCACAATATGACTACATGACTTCGAGCTCAGAGCTCAGCTTTGCCCAGCTGCCAGACGGGAGTTCACCCCACCAGAGACAGCGAGCCGTCGGGTCATGCCGAGATCGCACACGTCGGGGAGCTCCTGTCCGAGTCACCGGCTTCTTCGGCTTCTGGGGAGGTGTGGGGCGGGGGGTTGAGGATGAATCGGCCATTGCTACTAGGGTGGAGGCCATGGCTATTGTAGGTTGGAGTCGAATGAAGCAGGAGCTGATGCATGTCCTTGGAGTTTTGGAGGGTCTTTCTTGTTATGGGCGCACAGTGGTTTCTGCTTCTTTCATGCTTTTGCCTAGAAGGGTTTTCTGAAGAGAGTTGCGTTGAAGACAGATCTCCAGAGAAGCATGTTGCCAGCAAGGGTTTTGTCCTTGTGAGAGAGGGATATAGTACTTTACTAAACCAAGGTTTTGATCTCATTCTGCGTGGCCACGCGCTGCGGTTTTGTTCATCCTCCAATGACGGTTAAGGTCGGCCCAGCTCAGTACGACTCCATCGGGGCCGACGACCCGTGGGGGAGGTCTGAGTCGATTGTGGGGATTCTGCCTTCTGGGGATCGATGGAAGCAGCCTCTTCCCGGCGCACCGCACCAGCGGCCTTGCAGCGGCACGGAACCCCCGCGGGGTTTTGGGCGAACGAAGAGCTGAGGCTCAACAGCTGGTGCTGGTGCTGGGAGATCTCAAGTTGGATTTGGGCCACGAAGGTGCTCCGTCAGCCGTTGACATGCGCGTGCTGTTCCGTGCTGTTCACCACGTGGTGCTGACAGGTCGTCAGATGGGGGGTGCCAACGAATCGGTCCCGGTGAACCAGGGTGTTCGGGGCACCCCAGAAAACAGGACGAACCGGAAGCGCTTGGTTCAATGAAGTAGCTGCAATCTCAGATTTATGAGAACCATTCTTCCATTTCCATTTGCGGACGTCGAGCACTCTGCTTGTGACACGCCAATGCATTTATGAGAACCCCTCAAATCAGATGTTGGACCATGGGTTTTTCCAGTGGGACTCTTCCCACCCTTTTCGGCTCTTCCGGATTGCAACCAGGCACTCTCTTCCTTGTCCGGATGCGCTGAACGCGTTCACCCGATCCGGATGACCGTACCGCCCCTGCTCCGGTGCGCAGCGACGGTTTTGGGTGGAGAATGAAGCCGCTGCAGGTCAAACCCTCAGGACATCTACCATGCTGTTTGATGTTCTTGTAGCGATTCTCCATATACTGCAGCAAACCACCAAGATGTTGATTCTCAGAAGTTTGTTTGCATGCAGCAATTCTTGTGTACATGAAGCTCTCGCAGCACGCGCCGGAAAGCAAGTGATTTGTCTTTTTGTACAATATGAAGTAATTCCAGTAAGAGCAATGATGAACACCCTGGAACATGTTGATTTGGCGGTCGCAAAACCTACCAATTCGGCTGTCCCCTCATGTTCTTTAACACAGTTTATTTCTCAAGCTCGATGATGCATCTCCACTGAAATGTGATGTTGGATGATCGGCAGCCGCCGAATACCGCGCCAGTTTGGCATCGGGGCGTGACTGACATAGCCATAGAACTGCATGAAACAGTGCACCCAGCAAGGTGGTGCATCACCTTTGCTGATCTCAAGTTCTTCCGGTCTGAAGTCCATAGGGCCATCCAAGATGGCCAGAACTTTCACGAGAACTTCTCAGAGTATGGGCCAAGCATTTATGCAGTGAATGAACATTACATCAAGCCGATCACAGCGGGTGCTGGCAAAATGAGCTGGGCATTGATGATGAATCCTGATGGACTTGACTGCGACTTGTTTATTACTCACGCCTGGCAGGAAGATGTGTTCGAGTTCACCGATAAAGTGCTGACATCCTGGCCTTGGCGTGCACGCCATGCTTGGTGCTGCATGCTTGCAAACCCGCAGAATTTAGATATTGGCGCCTTGCTTCAGTCCCCGTCATTGTCTCCTTTTGCACTGGCCCTGCAGAGCTCCAAATACATGTTGGTGGTGCCTAACCGGCACAAGAGTGTCTACACAAGGCTGTGGTGTGGCTATGAAGCCTGCTTGGCCTTTCAAAGTGACAAGATCATTCGGACGGCTTCGCCTTCCATTTGGCGAGAAGTTGTGTGTTCTTGGCTCAGGATGCTTCCTGCACTGCTGATAGGCCTCATAGTCGGCATTTTGGTCAATTTGGGGCAGATGGATCCATTCCTGAAGTTCATACTGATAATGAGAATCCCAGCTTGCTAAGTTGAGTGACCTTTTTTGGCATTCTGAATTTGGTCTCGCGGTGTCAACACAATTTTGGATAATTTTGGAGAGACCCTTTTCTACACAACCTTTCCCCACTAAAAGCCGCACAATTGAGGAATGATAGCGGTTTTTGCAAGCCTGGTGAGTCAACACTGTGGTCAGATGCGGCTGTGCTTGATTGCCAACCATGTGGGCCTGCTAGCCAGTACTTCGGCGGCTTCTGTCACACGTGTTTTGAGACGATATCACTTTCTTCCTTTTCCTGGGTGGACAGCACATATGATTGTGTATTGGCATCGTATTTGCATTTTGGTCTATTTCTTACTTGCTGAAGTTGACCGCGTGAACTGCCAAATAGAAATGGAAGAGGCAGAAGCGTTGCAAAATCAATATCACGGGTCAATTCGTCATGCATCGTGCTCAGAAGTTCAAGACGAAGTGAACATTCGGCATGAGATAGGTGACCAGGTTGATGAAGTTGACCAGGCAATAGAGGTTCTGTTGAAGGCTGGTATGACCTCAGATGCACTCCGGGCCGCCTATTTGCAGGGAGTTGAGCTTCGGCATGCTGGTTTCGTTCAAATGGCCATCCCTGCGCTGGTGCTCGGGCCTTTGTTACTGTTGGGTTGTTGGATGGTGGTGCAATATATTGTTTTGATTGATGAAGCAGCTGATCCAATTGCAGAAGCCTTTCCAGTTTGGTTGCCAGTTCAATGCACATCCATTCTTGCCAGGCTTGCCTTCTTGTGTTTGTTTGTCAGACGCTCCATCGATGAACGATGTTTCATGCTGAACGCGATGGCAAAGATTGTGACAGTATTCTATTTTTGCCTGGTGGAACTAAGTTCTTTGGAGAACGCAGCCATGTTTTCTGAACTGAACACAGTACTGTTCATTGTGTACTCCCTTTCCTTCTTAGTGGTGCTTTTCTTCGCTGTTTTGGGCATCCGTGGCACATTGAAGTTGCTGGCCTATGTTAAAAGATTCTTGTTGTTGGCTTTTGAGCTCCCCAGATGCCCCATGTAGAAATATGTAGAAATCCTTGTCGACACTCTTTTTTGGTGTCTCGTCTGCCGAGGCTACCTGGTGGCAGGCAATTGGCCCAATTCTTCTTGTCACGTTTGGTGGTCTCGGGCAACTGGAGGTGTTCGGAGGTCTTCTCCCAGTCCACGAGAGATGCGTCGGATTCCTCAGGATCCGAGAGTTCCAGCTAACAGCAGGCTCTCATTCTGGCGGATACGGCTCTGCCGGACGCCACTGTGG